CAGCCCTCGGCTAGCCTGAGACAGCATCTCCACGCTCTAAGTCCTCCTCTGATGCCCTGCCAGCACTGCTTCCGGCCAGCCTTAAGCCCTGTTCAGGGTCCACTTAATGTGGACGTGCTAGTTCGAATTAGCAAAACGCTAATTCAAACTAGTTTTTAGTTCTAGATGCGTTAGTTTGAATTAGCGCTGTAGTGTAGACGTACCCCAGGAGGGAATCTCATGCACTGAATGTAAGTGCCCAGAGCCAGATGTTCCCAGTACCACCTGGAATGGGGTCCCCCAGCAGCTGCCCATGCAAGCACCCTCACTCAGCCCTTACCCTTGGGCCAGGCATTCTTTGATTGCTGCTGTCCAGGAACTCAGCTGCTGCTCATCCCTGGCCTCGAATACAACGTCGGTGCAGTTATTCACCTAGACAGGAGAGAAGGCAAATTTTGGATGGTACAGGAGCACGGCCCAGAAGCACAGCTACCCTGTCCCACCTGGGGCTCCACTGCCCATGCCACAGGAGTGGGGATTTCTGTTTGGATGCGGAGAACCAGCTCCAGTATTGCTTCCTTCACAGTCTCTCCTGCCAGCCCTTGGGAGTACCCCCTGGCTGTGTCTAGACTGGCTAGTTTTTCCAGAAAATCAGCCACTTTTCCAGAAAAACGTGCCAGCTGTCTACACTGGCCGCTTGAATTTCTGCAAGAACACTGACTTCCTACTGTCTGAAATCAGTGCTTCTTGTGCAAATACTATGCTGCTCCCGTTCAGGCAAAAGTCCCTTTTGCGCAAAACTTTTGCGCAAAAGGGCAAGTGTAGACAGCTCAGATTTGCACAAAAAAAGCCCTGATCGCAAAAATGGTGATCAGGGCTTTTTTGCGGAAAAGCACGTCTAGATTGGCTAAAGAAGGGTTTTCCCCAAATCTAGACACTCTGTTCTGAAAATGCTTTTAATGGAAAACTTTTCCGTTAAAAGCATTTCCGGAAAATCATGCCAGTCTAGACATAGCCACTCTGCTTTTCCCCAGGCTATTCTGCTTCCTCCCCACTCTCCCTCCCACCCCCGGCTGGGTTGCTGTCTCCAGGGTAAATGATTCACGGCCTCTGCAGCAGGAGAAGGAAAGGAATGGGAGGAAGGAAACTCACATGGGGAAGGTTGTCCCTGGGGTGGGGCGATCTAGCCATTTACTTCCCAGAGGAATTTGGCCATTTATGGCCTCCTATTCCAAGTGGCCCTTGCTAGGCCCCATGTCTGGGCAGCACAAATGACTGTGCTCAGACTTTTGTCCCTGCAATCAAGTACCCAAGGAGTAAGCAAGTCCCTCATCGTGTCTCTTGGAGCCAGCAGCTTTCAAACAGCAGTGGCCCCTGGAGACATGGCTGGGAGCTGGGGCTCCCTGGGGAAGAAGAGAGCCAGGCAGCAGAGTAGCATGCGGAACAGAGCAAATGGGAGGGGGAGACAGCAGCCAGAAGCCAATCTTACACCTCTGGGAGCATTGGCCCCCAGTCTAAGGCTGGGAAACCCCCACAGCAAGAACAGGGGAAACCAGGAATGATGGCTGCCTCACAAGGTGCCTGCAGGGGAATGGGCACAACTTGGTGGCCTGGGTGCTGCTTGGGGGCCTAGTGTGTGCGTCTAAGGTAGAGGATACTTCAGGCAGGAGCAGAGGAGTGAGAAGGGGCTGGCGACAGCTTGGGCTCCTCTCTTGGGGAAGGAATGGGCATGCTCTGCTAGTCATTGCAGTGTCTACAGAGCAGTAATGGGCACCAAAGAGAGGGTCACAGACAAGGAAGCCCCCAGCCTGGATGCTGCCAGTGACAGGGGCAGCAGCTACCATCCTGCTAGTCTCCAGGGGGCACTGAGCTGGGGAACATCTGCAGAGCACTAGTGTGGCATGCCCACCACTCTGGCACTCACACTGCTGTTGCATAAATTGCAAGGTTTC